TCAGAGAGTGGGGTAGATGCTCGGAAAGTCTGCCTCGCTGCATATCTTATGAAAGTTACTGCGTGCTTCAATTCGTTGAAGTTTGTAGTGGATATCGTCGAAATAGACGGACGAACTGTCGTATGGTTGGGATCGCGATCGAGTCTTCTTCTTCTTCTCAATTGCTTCCTGGGACTCGCATGTTCGCTTGTATTTTTGTATGGTTTGCTAGTGTTCGTAGTAGTAGTAGTGGTGCTTGGTTCTCTCCATTGTCCTGAAGACGTTCAAAAAATGTCCGAAGACATGATTGTCAACTTAAAAAGAAACTGTGCCGCACCAATGAACGCTCGTTATTTTTGGCTCAGAGAATCATTCGTCAGTAGAGTTCTGTACTAACGTATGCTGTGCATTCCTCTACTATGAGTGTGTTCAACAGACGTCTGGATAATCACCTGCTGACGGTCACTCCCAATGTCCAACCCCTTATCTGACGGATCACTGAGATAGCTATGCACATGCTAGTCCCTTAATTTAAGTAGATCGTTTTGTTTACCTTGTACCTTGAAAAGTCTATTTGGCGAACATATTTTTTTCGGCAATTCATCATCGGGCCAGTACAGTTGCACGGAGAATGAAACAGTCAGTTATGTACAGTGCTTATATCGTCCCCGTAGTGTGTGGGGAGGTAGGTGCTTAGTCATCTCTTCGCCCTCTTGTCTCGTGTATGCCGCAGTCGGCGTTTTGAGGACGTTCTCACAGTAGGCTGTTTGGGGTCTGTGGCTTCGGGTGGCGTGCGAATCCTGTCTGTAGTCGGCCAAGGGGGACGAATTGCCCGTATTGGAGTCTTTTGACAACAGAGAGCAAGTGATAGTTTCTGTATTAGCGTATTCTGGCCACACAGCATTGGATTCGCTGGCCGTGTATCTACAGCCTCAGCTGCGGCTAGCATCCGTTGGCGTAGGCCCTTGTAGAAGTCGGCTTGTGTCCGGTATACAACCTGAAAGGATTCGTTAGAATCGACTCGATGGTTTACATCGTCAAGGTGTGCGAGAATAAAACTTGAGATCGATCCAGTTTCACCTTTACTTA